TACTGAATATTTACATATATTCGTACCCCTTAGAGGTGTCTGTTCATACATTTTATATCAAAATTAATCCTATTTAATTTGAGTATTTTTTTAAAATACTTAATAATATATCTTTAGTAATATAAAGAGGTTGTTGAAAAAATACTTTTATAGTAAGTTTGACTAAGAAAATAAATGATTTGACTTACTACTAACAGAAATTTCGAAAAAAACACATGTACCAAAAAAAATTGAGATTTTTATGGTAACAAATTTAGAGATTTTTGTGTTAACAAATTTAATTGAGATATCCCAAAAAAATTGGAGATTTTTTTATGGTAACAAATTTGGAGATTCCTATACCAAAAGTTAATTCATTTTAAATATTAATCCATAAGAATCTACTTTTATTGGTAACAAATTTGAAGATTGTTAAGCCAAAAAATTGAGATTTTGAATTGAGATATTCCAACAATTACGGATTTTTTCCCATTCAAATTAATGGTGTAAATCAAACAAAAAATTATTCCAAAAATAATGGATATTATACCAACTATTGATAAATTCCAATCCCATAGGAGATTTCTATGGGATTCTTTTGGTAACAAATTGGAGATTCTTATGCCAAAAAATTGAGATTTTGAATTGAGATATCCTAACAATTTCGGTCCCCTTCAAATTCATGTTGTAAATTAAACAAAAAATTGTTCTGATAATAATGGATGCTATACTAAATATTGATAAACTTCAATCCATAGGAGATTTTTATGGGTTTCTTATGGTAACAAATTGAAGATTCTTATGATAACAAATTTGGAGATTCTTAAATTAAAATTTAATTCATTTTAAATATTAATCCCATAGGAATCTATTTTTATTGGTAACAAACTTAAAGATTCTTATGCCAAAAAATTGAGATTTTGAATTGAGATATCTCAACAATTACGGATTTTTTTTTTCATTCAAATTAATGTTGTAAATCAAACAAAAAATTATTCCGAAATAATGGATGCTATACTAAATTAATATCACTAGTCCCACACGTTAATATGATATTAATTAGATAGATAAATTACGTAAATCTTTCCTAACAAAATGCGTTCCAATATTGTTAACCAATTTAATGGGATTTTGTTAACTAATTTGATAGGATTTTGGTAACCACGGGATTTTGTTAGCTTTTCATGGAAACACGTATCTTCATTATTGATAAGGTTTGATAAGATTTTGTTTCCAATTTTTTTTGTTTTTTTTCCTCTCTCGAAAATTTGATAAGGTTTGATAAGATTTTGTTTCTTTTTTTTTCTCTCTCTCGAAAATTTGAGTTGTGGATTTGAGAAAAAAAAATAAAAAAATAAAATAAACATATCATATTGATAAAGTTTTAGTGTGGGCATAAAAATCAATTTTAATTTGATTGAACTTTGTTTCATATAAACCTAAGAGAATCAGACGTCTGAGAAAATAAAACATTAATAGTAAATAATCATACCATATTTGTAAGGTTTGATTTGGAATATTGAGGCATAAAAATCAATTATGATTTGTTCACATTTTATTTTATAGAAGTTATCTTAGAAAATTTTACACGTTTCAAAAAATTAAAGATTATAATTTCGTAAATTAAAGTTTTGGATTTGTCCAAATAAATAGGAAAATATAAAAATAAAAATATTATTTTGCAATCTATCCAAAAAGTCTTATCAAATTTCATTGTAACAAACTCCATTATTTTTGGCTACATAATCTTCTAAATATTCGTTCGTCCCTCACAAGTGAATCACGTTCCACATTTTTTTTTTATTCTTTTAACAAACCGATAACACATATTTAGAAGGATCGGATCATATTAAATACCTTACGTAAAAATTTTTTTATTTTCCAGACATATGTCACATACACATGACTATATAAACATCACCAACGTTGAACAAAAAGTATTCGACATCCAATATATCCCACAAAACAATTTTTTCTACAACTTTTACATCACCATTGAAAATGGCTTCGGATTTTGGAGTAATCAAGGATATCAAAAGATCTAATAAGCCACCAATCAAGCTACGGATAATTAGGATGTTCCAACGAGTTGAAGACGCATGCAATTACCTAAATGTTCTTGAGATTATCTTTCATGATTTTGAGATAATATATTCATTTAGTATTATTTAAATGCATCATTTTATGCAACATCTTTTATAATTTATTTATTGAATTATTCATTATGCAATGTTTTAGGGAGGACGAATTACTGGCATAATACGATCTGTCAATATCCAAAAAATCATCGGTGATATTGAAGAAGGTAGCGCTTATATCTTGACAAACTATCTAGTGGAAAGCAATATTGGCATCCATAAATCAACGATAGGAAAAAGGAGTATCATTATCAATTGTCAAACCAATATTATCAAATGGAGGGGTGATTTTCTTATTTCTAACTTTAATGGATGTTTGTAACATTAATGAAGTCATATTGTTTGGTACGTTATAATTTTTTTGTTTATTTCTTAATTCGATTTTTTTAATTTATAATCTGTAATAAACTATTTTATATGTTATACATTTCAATATGATGCATTTTCTTATATTTTTGTAGATGTTATTGGATTGGTTGTTTTCCATTATGTTTTCTTACGTCATTACTGTAAATAAGAGCCAGGAACAATCATTATCGCATGTGGGCTTATTTCTTAAGAAACCAATGTTTAGTCATGGCCAATTGTATGTTGTTGTCTCCCGTGTCACAAACAGAAATGGGTTTGAGAGTCCTAATTTGTGACGACGATGACGTGCCAAAGAATCAAATCATGAACGTTGTATATAAGGAAGTGTTCAATAATATATAGATATTATTATCATTGTATTTATTAATTTATTTATTATTAATGACATGATCTTTCCTTTAGTAAGTACTTTGAATTTTAACTGAACATTGCTTTATAAAAGGGACGGAGATAATAAATCCACGTGCATCGCACGGGGACTGTACTAGTAGTAATAACAACTAAACTTTATGCTTAATATTATACACGATTTGCAATTGATTTTCTTAAAAAATTATTTGTATTATATTTTTTGATACCTTTCTTAGTCTTATTCCATCCAACTAAAATGGTATGAAAGGTTAAAGAAAATACATTTGTTTGAATTTCAAACTTATATTATTAGTTGCACATATTTAGTTTTAATTTAAATTTTGAGTCACTTATATATTTATATATTTTATAAATTTTGATTTCGAAATAAAATAATTAATATGGTTAAATATTGATGAATATTGGAATTAACAAAAAAATAATATAAAAATTTAAATATAGCTAGATAGTGATTCAGAAAAAATAAAAAATAATTAGAAATATTTGGAGCTTCAAACTGAACATTTTCGATAGTCTCAAATACTGAATCAAACAAAACCGTACCAAAAAATAAAATTCTCTGAATCGAACCTTTTTGAAATTTTATACGGCTCTGAAGATTGAATTTTGATGATTTTTTTGAATTACGGTATGATTCTAGAGATTTATAATCTTCAAACCGTAGTGACTTATGCTCATCTCTATTGATTGGATTGCAATCACTAATTTTTATATCTTTAATCAATACACACATAAGTAACCAGGGACGGATGCACACTAGGCCTGGGCTGGGCTGAAGCCCAAGCCTTCTAATTTTTTTTTACTACTACTAAGTTTGATTTTTCTTTTTTTTTTTTATTCCTAGCCCAGCCCAACAAAAAAAAATAAAGAACTAAGGCCCAAATATACCAACTTCCTAAATCCTCTTATGTCCTAAGGCCCTGCTCGTATCAATTATCACCTCATCCTCACAAGTCATAACAATTAAGACCTAAAAAAAATTGTTCTCTTTTTCGCTTCTTCAATTCCCTCCCGCCCCGACTCCCTCTAAAGTCTCCATTGTTGGACTCATAATTTCTACAGCGGACTGAGTTCACCTTCACTCACCGACCACCGAAGTCGGCCATCCGATTCAGAAGGTACCAAAAAATAAAAATGTCTTTACTTCACAAACCCTAGATGGCTAGATTGTGCATTGTGAAGGGAGAAAAATAGTTTATGAGGTTTAACTTGTGAGACATCCATTATTGAGTGCTTGTTCTAGAAAGAAAAAGAGAACCTTGAAGCCTAATTGCTTGAGCCCAGAAACATTCATAAGATTAGTCTGCGTTTTNAACATTCATAAGATTTGTCTGCGATTTTTAATTTATTTTTTTATCTGGATTTTGAGCAATTGGGTGTGTTGAGATTTAGCATTTGCTTCAAATTTTTAGTACGGAGTGTACAAGATGAAATTAATTTACACTTGTGTGGCTGTATAATTCACTTGCACTGATTTAGTCAATTAATTCATTAAATGTTTACATAACGTAAGAAACCCAAGAAAAAATAGTTTTGAATTCGTATGTTGAGAATCAGTGCCAACTTTTATAATAATTTATGATGATTGGATTGAAAATTGAAAAAGAAAATAAGGCTAATATCAAAATTATGAATGTTAGAGTTTTAAAATTGTAAATCACTTGCTATTTAATATTATGTATGGCTGGGTTAATATTTGAATTAATATTATTATTTTGTAAAATTATTTTTTCTTTGGTTGGGTCAATATTTGAATTAAATGTACATTTTTGTCCTAATATGTTTAGCAATATCATTTGTAGGCAAATATATTTTTTCATATATTTTTCAACGATATGGTGTCTACTTCATTTTTGAACGGTTGATCATGGGTATAGAATGTTGAAATGGTTAGTTCAAAAATTTATGTGATTTTTATGTAAAATGAGTATCTAAAATTCTAGTCAATGTCTATTCTTAATTTCTGGATCCGTCCCTGTAAGTAACAATATATAATTGTACGTTGATCAAATAATAAAAAGCATGATGACTGGTGAAATTTCCCAAAATTGAATATAAATTAACTGCTAATCACAAATTAATAAATTATAAAACTTATTATTTGTTTATATACTTGAGGAAAACAAAATAAAAAATATTCAAATGTCTCCCTCTCAAGTCTCAATTAATGCAAATGGCACGACTCAATTGACGAAAAGGCCTCCCGACTCGAAGTCCCCCCAAAACAGATCAGACAGTTGGTGGCCCACGTCCTCGGGGGCATATCGGACCACTGATGCCGAAAATCTCTCCCTCTCCATTTTCTCCCTGTGCTCGATGTAAAACTCGCGATACGGCCCGCATATCTTTCTCGCGAGCGATATTTTTATTTGGTCCCGGAGCTTGCTATCCACTACGACGAACACACCCTGCTTCCTGCACGCCTGGTCAAACGCCGTGTTGAACTTCTTAAAAATCTCCCTCACTTTGGCTGGGGGTGCGTCCGCTGCCGTCGGATCCGACGGGATCGAGTCGATGACGTGGCCCCATCCCAGCCGCTCGTACCTCTCAACGAACTGCTTTACCTTGTACTCGTGCTCAGCGAACCACTCCTCCCCGAGGAGGTTCCCCAGTTTGGAGCCACGCGCCTTTACGACGACGTATTGGAGGTTGTTCACGAGAAAGAGGTAGGAGAGTGACACGTCCTTGTAGCGCTTGGCCTTCGCGTCGAGATTGCATAGGAGCATTAGGAGCAGCCACGCCATTTTCCGGCCGACCGCCGTCTCCGGCGAGTCAGATTCCGGCGGTAGTACTTCAGAAAGCACGCCACCATATTCGGCGAGGCCCGACAAGTAGGCGGTTACGTCTATAGTGAGGCCGTGGACCCCACCTTCGGCGACCGGCGGCAACTTCACCGGTTCCTTGATGACCGTCGCCTCGAATTCCCCGAGCGCCACACAGGCAGACTCTGCTAGCCGCTCGAGCGCAGCCAGTGCCTGTGCTCTGGCCGCGCCCGACGGCTTGCCGGAGAAAACTGACTCGATCTCCGGCAAGAGGCCGGAGATCGCGCGGTGCATGTCGAGCAATCGAAAAATTCTCTCCGGCAAGCCTCGTGGGGCGCCGTGCCTCGCCACACATTCCGGGAAGGCGAACAGGATCTGCGCGCCTTCCCGGGTGACGTCGGCGAAGCACGACTCGCGTAGCGAGTCGTCGCTCGCGAAGACATGGTCGCAGAGTATCCGCTCGCCCGTGAAGAGCGTCTTCACTGCGGTCGACACCCCGGCTAGCCACGTCTCGACCCGCCAGTCGAGCGTTTCTGGGTCGGACTTATTGACTTGCGACGAGCTCAATTTCTCGACTCCGAGTTTGTAAATCCCCTCGTCGACGATCGATTTCCGGATAACTCGGTAGATTTCGAGGCACTCTTTTGCGTGGCTGGCCGAGATCATGCACTCGGCTATCAAACGAAGGTCCGACATGGCGAGTAGGGAGGTTACGTCGTCTTCGGAGGCCGACGACTCGTCGTCGTCGTTGTATGACGAGGCAGAGCCGATAGAGGTGCGGGAAGACCGAGCGGAGACTGACTCCGGGTCGAGATGGGCACGGTTCATGGACAAAATTTGGTAGAATTCTTTCTGGAGCCGCTTCATGGCGACCCGCATCAGGCTCTGGGCCCGACCCAACTTGTCGAAGCCCGAGCCCGATGTCTCGACCGGCACAAAGTGAATAGCCTTTAGGAGGTTGTTTACGGTTTTTACAAAGTCACGGGCCTCGTGTCGGCTCTCGTGGAAGAGGGAGGTGACCCGGGCGTAGGCGGTGGTCTCGGGGTCCCATTTGGTGATGATCGGCTCGGAGATCTCGAGGGTTCGGTTCATGACCGAGTCAGAGAAGCTGGGCCGGGCCGGGGAAAACCCGAACCGGGAAGGGGAGGATGGGGTGAAGGAAGAGAGTTTGGTTTTGGGGGAGAAACAAAGACTCCTCATTCCTTTTCTAGGCATTTGCTGTTTTTTTCTTTTTTTTTTAAGGTATTTTCTATTTGGCGTTTTCTTTTACCTTTTTTTTTTTTCCTTCCCCTTAATTTGGAGGAGTTTAGAGTGGGAAGAAAGTGGGGACGAAGGTATTTAAGGTATGGTCTATTTATAAAGAAGTAGTAGTTGGGTGGTTGTGGCTTTGTGGGAATTAGGGATATCTTTCATTTGGTGGTTTATGTGTGCATGGGTCCATCCCATGCATTTCCTATTCTTCTATTTTATTTTTTCTCAAAAGAACTTAATAAAATCTCTTATCTACAAATTTTTTATGCTTTTCTCTTATTTTTTTTTTATTCACTTACATAATAGGTAGAGTCATAGTGTAAACCAGCTGAACTTGAGCTCGAGCTTGAGCCTTTATCAAGACGAGATTGGTTCGTTTATGAATATTTTAACAAGTCGAGTAGTTCAAGCCGGGCTCAAGCCTTAACGAATCAAATTTATGTTGAAAAGTAAATAAAAATTTTATTTTTAAATTTTAACGACACGAACCTTAATAAGTCGAACCGAAATCCAAGAATCCGTTTTATATAACGAACGCTATTACGCTAATATCATATACATGAATTAGGGCAAAATTTCAAAATTGGTCCTATAATTTGACCACTGTCAAAAAACCACCCCGATATTGACCACTTTCAATTTAGGTCCTATAATTTGTCGATTTCATCAATTTTGGTCATTTTTATCCGTACCCTAGATTAAAAAGTGACGTGGTATGACGTGTCAGTTTTTTAATGTTACATGGCGTGATTATGATCTACGTGACACGTCAATTTTGGTCCTATAATTTGTCGATTTCATCAATTTTGGTCCTTTTTTCATGCCACGTCACTTTTCAATCCAGGGTGCGGATAAAAAAGGACCAAGATTGATGAAATCGACAAATTATAGGACCTAAATTGAAAGTGGTCAATATCGAGGTGGTTTTTTGGACAGTGGCCAAATTATAGGACCAATTTTAAATTTTTGCCCATGAATTTGAGAGCTGAGCTGTAAATTTTACCAAATAAGTATATTCTACTTTAAAACTGCTCATCCGAAAAAGTACATTCTAATCGTTTGGACTAAAATCAGATTCTCATTCTTCAATTCATCCACAATCCTAATTGAAGGGATGAATGACGATCTGATTTTAGTCATTCCTCAAGACTTTTGGGAAGTATTAAAAAGAAAAAGGAAAAAAAAGAAAAATGAGACGACACGTGTGTGTTGACTTTAGAGTTCCACACGTGGCACATGGATTATTAGACATTTATCAACCTAACCAATGAGTAAAACACGACATTAGTTAGAAAAATACTTATAATTAGTCGCTAGCTTTATTGGATTTTTTTTTTCCGTGACAATGATGTTCTAAATGGGACTGCAAATGAGTTGAATCGAATCGAGTATAAACCTTGTCGAGTGTAGATCGAATTTTTTTCTTTAGTATTTGAACTCGAGATCTACGAGCCATGTAAA